CCCTCTCTCTCTCTCTCTCTCCCTCTCTCGTGTCTCCCGTTCATCCATCATCAAACTCACATCAATTCCAATATCAAACGTCGCTCCCCCCTCCCCCGCCCGCTCTCTCCCCTTGTGGATCTCTCTAGAGCGCCATTAGGCTTTGTGCATCTCCTTCCTAGACAAAAAAGAGGCTCCAAATGACTCCCTGTCTTACAAATATTTCATTAACATTCCTTCGCCGTGTTTGCTTTTTAATGTGTGAATGGATGTGGCTCTTCTTTTTCTTTCCCTTTAACCAGCCCTTTAAGCGTTTTATCATTTTTTAAAAATCTTTACTTTTTGTTAATAAATATTTACGCGCATGCACTGCGTACACACACACACACACACACACACACACACACACACACACACACACACACACACACACACTCATAGTACAAACTCTCAAACACATGCACACATACACACAACACCCAAACACACACACACACTCACACATACACACACAAACACACACACACACACACACACACTCACACACACACACACACACGTACTTGCACTCAAACACACCCTCACATACATACACTCAAACAGACTCACACATACACAAAAGCAGAAAAAAGTACACCACGCAAACACATACACATCGTCTCTTAAATTATTTTTGTAGACTGTGTCGATGTATAGGGATGTAAAGCAATCGCATGGACCAGGAACAAGACATTAGAGCAAAGAATTACAACATGTGAAATGCGATGTCTTAGAAAAGCAGTAAACAAGACCAGGCGAGACAAAATTAGAAACTCAGTAGTCACAGAAATGGCGGGCACAAATGATGCCATGCATCACATCCAACACCAAAGAATCAAATGGTTCGGACATCTCATGCGCTTACCAGCACACCATCCAGCACAACGTGCCTACATGGAAAAAAAAGAAAAGAATTCAACACCAACAAGGCTAGAGGGCGACCGAGAAAGACCTGGATAGATGGAGTCAGGGAAACATTAACAACTCACGGCATCCCCCTGACCCAAGCTCTCCGGCTGGTGGCTGAGAGACGTCTCTTTCTTCCCGCGACACCCAAAAAGGTACATTGTATAAGCGGCGGATAAAAGTAAAGTAAGCGGATTTCGAGAAAATCCCGAAGGCTGCACTCGTAGATACCCTAGTTGAACGCTGTTGTGATGGATGTAGACTGTGTTGTAGTTAACCTAGGTCGAGAGGCCTCAGAAGACACGAGATTGTGTGTCTTAGGGGCTTTGCCTGTCAGTTTGATAAACTAAACATCAGCTGTTATGGTCGACTGTCAAACAACAAAAGCGAAAACAAGGAATTGTTCACGGGTAACGAAAAGAAACGTGAAGAAAAATGCGGAGGTTCTCATAATATAAAGACAATCAAGTAAATAGAATCTAGATCAAGAATTTCCAAGTCCTTGCTTTTCAGCTCCAAATTTGCTTTGTTGTTGAATACATCTAGATCTATAAAGTAAGATTTTCTAACAGGCCTGACTTTGAAGATTTTACAGTACCGTACTAACCTAAGAACGGATCTCAGCTGGAAGGCAGTACGTCATGATCAGGGCAGGAAGATATTACGATGTCTTGGTGGCCTTGCTTCTGCTTCTAGGCCCCGGCCTCTCCCTAGCTTCGGAGACGAAATGTATCAAGGGATGTTGGTGCGAGTCGAGCGACACAGACGTGTCCGTGCAGTGCACGAACTTCCCCGGAGACTCTGTCCCCAGTTTGACCTCGTTAGACCTGGCCTCCAAAAACGTGTCCTTGATGCTAGATCAGCCAGGTCTGAAGAAAGTGGCGCGGAAAGATCTCCAGGTCGGGGGTAAGCTGATCCGAGTGACCATCGTGGGCAGCCCCGAGCTGGTGTACGATGTGGACGCCTTCTCGGACAGCGCCTCCACTCTGACGTCACTGGACCTGGACGTGGGCGACTACCGGTTCGACCAGGTGTTCTCGGTGGTCAGTGAGCTCGGTGCCCTGGAGAAGCTGACCCTCCGATGTCAGGGCAAGGCCGGTGACCCTATCTTGCTGACTCAGCCGATCGTGTCGGGGCCAGTGACCCAGTCTCTGCGTGAGCTCAGTATCAGGTCGTGCGAAGTGAAACATGTCTTAGCCGAAGCTCTGACCGGGCTGGACAATCTAACGGGACTGTCGCTGCCCAAAAACGTGCTTCGCGACATCCCGCGCTTTCTGTCCACACTTCCCCTTACCTCCGTACACCTGGACACCAACAGGATCGCCCACCCCGACCTGGGCCAGCTCCCGAAGACTCTGAAACTCTTGAGCCTGTCCGACAACGGGGTCATCACCATGAGCCCTTACGTCGCCGCCGAGCTGCCCAATCTGGCGAGCATGGACCTGAGCGACAACCCGCACTTCACGCCGTCCCCGAGCACGTTCGAGGAGTACTCTCGCGGCTTTCTCAACCTGGCCCGCACCAACCTGGACACGTTAGACATCCTGCACGGCGGCCCCGAGTCGCCGCCCCCCGCCGTGTCCCTGGAGATCAGCGGCACCAAAGTTCCCTGCAGCTGTCAGCTCCAGCACCTCCTGGTGGTCCACAAGGCGGACATCTCAGGCACGTGCGTCACTCTCGGGAACGGCACGCTGCACATCCCCGGACCCCAGCTCGCCCAGTATCTGAAAAGCGTGGACTGCGACTGTCTGACAGACCCCAAGCAGCCGTGCGCCAGCGGCGTGTCCAAGATGAGGCAAGAGTGGTTGGAAGCCCACATCCCGGGGAGCGCCGGCCGTCGAGGCACCACCTCCTCCTCCCCCCGTGAGGCGGCGGCCGTGTGTCTGGCCGTGTTTCTGCTCACGGCGTGGGTTCAATGATCCATGTCAGTGTGCGCTGTTACCCTCGTGGGAAAAGTCATGGCATTGTTGTACGTCTGTCTATCCGGCTCACCGTTTCCCACCAGTGGAGGGGTTGGAAGTTCAATCATGTAGTAGTTGGCGAAATCGTCGCTTTTAAACACAAGGGGCGCGCTCATATGACCTTAGCAGTTGCGAGCGCCGTAAAACCCTCTACTACATACATACATACATACAAACACAAGGGGGCTATTTTTAAAAAAAGCTGTTTTGAGAAAGTCGAAGGTAAAGTTTCTGCCCCTTGTTCAGTTTCTTTAAAAGACAAGGTGAGTTTTCTCTAAAATCAAACAAATATAGACACCAATGAAACCAAACTCCGCCTATAGGTAGGGCAATGCCCATTTTTGGTGTACCGTAGGTCAAGAATTCTGGAAACCCCCGAAATCTGGGTTAGCAGAATAACAATAAAACAAAAAATATTTTTAAAAAAATGAGAACTTGTTTTTGGTCTGTGAACGACTGAGTGTGTAAAGTGGGTGATTGGCGGGTGCTCTGGTGTGGTTTGCTTCTTCTTTGCTATCAAACATCTATTGTCCTGATCTCTCCTCTTTCTTTTATTGTGTTTGTTACTCTCTTGTAACACCTCTAATATTCGGCACTTATATGACCGTATTGTGTTGCTAGTGCTGTATATAAAACTGTTACAAATATTGAAAGTTGTTTCTGTCTGTCTGCCTGTCTCGCTTTTTCCCAGCAGTTACTTAATGACCATTTTGTGTCGATATGTACTCGTTACTTAACAGAAAAAACAGCAACAAGAACAGCAGCAGCAGCAACAACAACAACAACAACAACAACAGCAGCAGCAGCAGCAGCAGCGACAACTAAAACAACAACTAAAGCAACAACAACAACAGCAGCAGCAGCAGCAGCAACAACTACAACAACAACAGCAACAGCAGCCATGTTAATTCCTTTTCCTTTTCCTTTTCCGATCCAGCGGCCATTTGGGTTCTAGCCCTTTGGTCTGCTGATATGGCAAAGAATTTGCTGGTCTTTATTCAGCTGTACTTTATACCATGTTAATTCAGGTGGTAAATAAAAGGCGGGTCATCTAGCCTCACCCCCAGGACAGCCCCGGCAGGGTTGTGAGAGGGACGTACGTGCGTCTTGTGAGGGTTCATGGAGGAGGCTGACCACACTTCCTCTCACA